GTGGTGGCCCCAAGCCTGTGCTGCTCGCAGGGGCACCCATGGAGCTGCTCCCACAGCCATGCTCCAGCCTGCCTCGCTGGAAGGCACGGAGCAGTCAGCAGAGCAGGCAACGGCCGGGGCAGCAGCTGGGTAGCGAGAGCATCTGAAAAGGGATTTTGTTCCCTCTCTGTTGGTCACGTAGCCATGTGGGAACAGTAGATTTATTCACCGGCAGTCCTATCAGCACATACGAGGCTTGACAACAGCTGGGAGCTGTGTGGCTTGACCAAGAATAGCCCTGGGGAGCTCACTGCCATGAGTCAGAGCCGTCTGGATCGGCTCTCTCCCAGCGTAAGGGAGCCCACGAGGACGGCTGGCGGTGAGCTCCCTGCCCCATTAAATGCCGAACTGTAGATTGAGCCATAATAGCTCTTTCTGAAGTGGGTGGGTTCATGAAGAAAACTGCAGCGTGCAGCGCTCTGCAGCTGACTGCTCAGATGTAATTCCATGGGCTTGTCTACACTTGATAGCAACCTGTATTAGAAGGGTGTGATTTTGCAAGTGGAAAACTCCATATTTAGGAATAACCAGGTTAAACCAAACAGAAGGAAGGTACTCTTGTTCTAGAGTTAGTGCTCCAAAGAAAGTGAAGTAGTTCTACAAACCTCTTGTCTGAGAGGAAGACAAGGGGCCATGAGAGATCCCTGATCTCCTGTGTGCAAAACCCCAACACCTCTCTTGCTTGTAGAACACCCACCCTCCCCAGCGCTTTCTCCCTGAAGAGCGTTTGTAGTTGGAGCAACATGGGCAAAACGGTTTGCTGGGATGTGGCTTCATAGCTGGGCACAGCGTGGGGTGCCTGAGTTCCGCTTCCCTGTGGAGCGGCTGCATTAAAGTTCTGGAGAAGTTCCAGAACTGAAATGCTGACAGCCCCATCAGGCAGAGCATCGGCTCACAGGCTGTCAGGAGGAATCTTGCTGTCGGCCCAGGGCCGTGCTGGAGGCTGTGTGTGGGTCTCTGAAGGGCTGCCTGGTAGACAGATCTCCCTCAAGCGGGCTGGCGCTCTGATGTGATGGTGGATGTGCACCCACACCGCATGTGCGTGGTCCTGGTTTTGGTGCCAAATCAGAACTTTGCATACAGAAAAATTTTCTCTTTTGGTTATCATGTACACTTTGCTTCCCAGCAAGGAGGCAGACAGTGAGGAGCTGAACTGCATGCTTACGTGTCTAGGTTTCTCTGAGTGGTGCCCGAGTGCTCCAGCTGTTGCGTATAAACCTGAAGCAGGATCCACTCCAGGCCCTGAATGTGTGCAGGCTTTTTTGGAAGTGCGTGCAGCCATGGAGCAGGTGCAGCAGATCAGCTCTGTGTCCTGCCCTGATGGTGGCTGTCTGTTGGCTCGGCACAGGGGTTTGCGGTCCTTGCCCTCTGGAGATGGCAGCTGTGCAGGCACACCTCGGGCAGTGTAAGCTGATCCTGAGCCAGCATCTCCGCTGATCTCCTAGCAGGTGAAGGAGGCCCTCAGACTGGCACCATGACAGAGTGCTTTGACTGCGACAACTGCAAGGAGTCCTTGTATGGACGCAAGTACATCCAGATGGACAAAGGCCCGTACTGTATCCCCTGCTATGATGCCCACTTTGCCAACACCTGTGACGAGTGCAAAGAGCTGATCGGCCACGACTGCAGAGTGAGTATGGGACCCCACGGCCGAGCAGGGCGGTTCCCCGGGGCAACTGGTCCGCTCCTCATCTCGGTTGTCCTCCCCAGGAGCTGTACTATGAGGATCGCCATTACCACGAGCACTGCTTTCGCTGCTTCCGCTGTGACCGTTCTCTGGCTGATGAGCCGTTCACCTGCCAAGGCGAGGAGCTGCTGTGCAATGACTGCTACTGCAGCGAGTTCTCCTCCAAATGCGTTGCGTGTGAGAAGACAGTCATGCCAGGTAGGAGCGGGCAGACTCGAGCACTGCAGTTTGTTCCTGGTCCCAGCGGCATTGGCCAGCTGCAGGATCCAACACTAGGGCAGCAGGGAAAAGAGCTGAATTTCTGCTCTCCTGCCACGTTGTTACTGCATAGAGTGGGCCGGGCACTTTGCTTGTCTGGCAAGACAGCAGGATCCCGAGCTGTGATCCCCACAGCAGCCCTGTCTGTTCCCCATTTTCATGGGGAAGTGAGCTGGGGAGGAGATAACAAAGGGTTCCCTGGGCATTTTCTGGTGTGTGCTGACAAGAAGAGAAGGAATGACTGAAGGTGCATGAGCGTCTCTGTAGATGGCCTGAGGCAAAAGAGTGTGTTTGCTTGGCCGTTCTGGCACCATCTTCAGATGTAGGTTCTAACAGACGTCTCTGCTGCAGCCTGTGTGCCGGTGCTGTGAGCATGTTCCTGCAGCCCTCCCCTTGCCGGTGTGTGGTGGGCCTGGGGCCTCCACTCTCCAGCTGCCTGCGGTCTTGTGCTGCCAGGATGAGGGCAGACACCGAGCCGGGCGTGTAGGACCACAGTTTGTTCTGCACAGCCTCCCGTGTCCCCTGTGTGTGCATGTGCTGCTCCCTCCTGTCAGTGTGAATGGCTCTCTCTGCAGGATCCCGTAAGCTGGAGTACAATGGACAAACCTGGCATGAGCATTGCTTCATATGCAGCAGCTGCCAGCAGCCCATTGGGTCGCGATCCTTCATCCCAGACAAGAAGGATTATTACTGTGTTCCCTGTTACGAGAGCAAGTTCGCTCCTCGCTGCACTCGTTGCAAAAAGGTATGTCTGGCCTGACAGCCCAAAGCCCCTGAGCTCCCTGGTCCAGGGACATGTTCCCTGCTCCTGTCTGAGCCTCACCAGAGACGGGTTCGGGTGCCAGCACCCTGGCTAGCCTCTGGCCCTGCACTGCGGCCTGTTCCTGCATGGCCGTGTGTCACAGGTATGTGCTCTCTTCCCACAGACCCTGACCAAGGGAGGAGTGACTTACCGGGATGAGCCGTGGCACAAGGAGTGTTTTGTCTGCACAGGCTGCAAGACCCCCCTGGCCGGGCAGCAGTTCACCTCCCAGGATGACAACCCGTACTGCATCAAGTGCTTTGGGAACCTCTATGCCAAGAAGTGCAGCGCCTGCACAAAGCCCATCACAGGTGAACAGAACGGCCCTGGTCATGGGGTGCTTCTGCAGAGCAGGGCATGACCCCCCTGCCCTGTTTCCAGGCATGCAGTGACTTCTCTGGGTGAAGCTGCCCTCTTGAGTGCACGTGTGACCCAGGCCCATATGATGCTCATACACATCTCCACCCTGCAGGCTTGCTCTAGGGCCTACAGGCACTTCAGGCCTCTTGGGGACAAATGCTGGCGAGTGCAAGGTGCCCTCATGCACGTCCCCCACAGAAAAAACTGCAGCTGCTTTCCCGGAAGCCCCATGAGAGTGGATCTCTTTGTTGCAGTGGTCCTAGGGCCGCTTGTGTCCCTTTATCTGCATCTTTCAAAGTGGTGAACTGTGCCCAGTTGGAGGAATTCCCTCTGCCCAGGGGCAGAGGCTCCCAAAATGAACCCTCACAGCATGATCTCGTGTGTCTAGCTTGCCTTGTTTGAGGCTGGTAGCCACGTCCTGCGGAACGATTGCTTACAGACAGGGAAAGCCAGAGACTTCCAGCCACAGCTGGAGCATCAGCTGCTGCAGGGGAGTGTGGACCTGTGGTGCCTGCCTAAGACAAGGGAAGCAGGCGGTCCTCTTCTACAGATACCCCTGAGAGGGTCTGGGCTCCTCCCTGTCCTCCCCGGCTTGACCTTTCCCTTTGCAACTCACATCTCTTGCTGCTGGGAAGGCGGGCAAAGCCGTGAATCAGCTGATGACTCAGAGGATGACTCTGGCCGTGGACAGGGCAGCTCCTGGGCACCCTGCTTCCCGTCTGGTCCTTATCAGTTTGTCGCAGTCCCGGGGAGAAGCGGGTCACAGCCCACATGTCCAGCCACTGCCTGGAGAGGAAGGAAGCTGCCTGCGGAGCCTCTGCAGGAGCCCGGGCCTGGGCTGGTGCAGGAGGGCTCTTCCCAGGATTTCACTAGCACTGTCCTTGGAAGGAGCTGCTCCAGGCAGTGCTGCCAGGAGCTGCCAACAGCCCCCTTGTTCACTGTGATGGTGCAGCTCTACTCCCTGCTCCTCGCTGGCCAGAAAAAGGTGATTTTGGCCCAGGCGACTCAACCCTGCAAAATCTGCTGTGAAATCATTTTGTTCCTCTTCCCTCCCAAGAGAGGAGATTCATATTCAGATGTTTTCGATACTGTGGGGTGTTTGGGTGCTGCGGCGCAGACTAAATGTGAAGACCTGACTCAGAGATGAACAGGCCAAGACTCAGTCTGTGCGGGAAGCTCATCCCAGTTTCCCCAGAGGTTCTAACACTGCGCTCTATCCCTCCCACAGGCTTTGGCGGTGGCAAATATGTCTCCTTTGAGGACCGTCACTGGCACCACAATTGCTTTAACTGCGCTCGCTGCAACACCTCGCTCGTCGGGAAAGGATTCATCCCTGACAACGATGAGATCTTGTGCCGTGACTGCAGCAGTGACCTATGAGCCTCCGAGGACACCGTGGGGCAGGGGCTTTCTCTATTCTTCAGGGTCTTTGTGCCAGATACCCCAACAGCATTTCAGGGGCAGGGCACAAGGCACAGGAGATGGGGACTGACCCCGAACCACGGTGTGTTCAGGGGGTTCCTGTGCCTCTCCCTGAAGGCTAGAGTATGCTATGCTATGGCTCTGTGCGGAGTCAAAGCTAAATAAAGTTCAAAAAGGAGCTTGAAGACCCCCCCATTATTTACTCTTTTCTTTTGCTTCCTGTCTGGCCAGGCACCAGCTGAGCCCAGGGCCCCAGCTGAGCAAAGGGCGGCAGCAGCAGCTTCAGTGTTGGGCTGCTGGATCTGCACGCTGGCAGCATGTACTTGCTCCCCGGCACAGTGCTGACTTCTCTTTTCCCCCTGTGCTTTCCTTGCTCTGTGTGATACGAGGCAGCAGCTCCTGGTCCATGCAGCTAGATCGTGCCAGCGGCGTAGCGGACAGCTTTGCAGCACAGCCTGTTCATACACGTGGCTGTTCAGTGGCGACTGGGGCATGAAGTGTGTGATACGAGCCAGCAGCTCCTGGTCCATGCAGCTAGATCGTGCCAGCGGCGTAGCGGACAGCTTTGCAGCACAGCCTGTTCATACACGTGGCTGTTCAGTGGCGACTGGGGCATGAAGAGTGCGTTCTGCCCGCTTCAGGAGGGTTGGAGACACCAGGCTGGAGTGTGGCCGGGAGAAGAGCATGTAACCTGCTAGATGGGATCCACCTCTGGATTTATGTAGCCACCTCACCGTTTGCGGGCCAGACCCTTTGCTCTGCACAGCTCCGTGGAGGTGCTTTCACTCAGATGTGGATGAGGAGCTCAAATCACTCGCAGGTACGGGGTGTTCTGCCCCCACCTCCCTGCCCCATTCCCGCCCATCTGTGCCTTGATCTCCCACAGCTGCCTCTCCGATGTCTGAGCTGGAGCTGGCGGGTATTGGCTCACTGGTGGTCCCCCCGAATCCTGCCTGGCTGAGCCCCCAGGCTGACTGAGAGCACCGAGGGCTTTATTTCTGCTCCATACCTCTCATGGGGAACCATGCCCCATCCCTGGAAACATTCCGTGTCGGGCTGGATGGAGCTCTGAGCAACCTGATCGGGTTGAAGATGTCCCTGCTCACTGCAGGGGGTTGGACAAGATGGCCTTTAAAGGTCCCTTCCAACCCGAAGCATTCTGTGATTCTGTGGAGCGGGTCGCTTGCCCAGATGCCGGAGCCGTGCTCGTCCCTCGCTGTGTCCCAACGAGGAGCAAAGCAAAGGTGGCACCTGGGCCGCTCTGAAGAGAGGCTCCCAGGTCCCTGCATTGGCCTCAACTGTGCAAAACAGGACATCCTGAGCCATCCCAGACTCGCACAAGGGCTTGAGCCATCCTTGCCCAGCAGCTGAGCTGGCCCTGGCCCCCCTAAGGCCCCTCTGCAGCGGGATGCTCGTGCCTGCCTTGTCCCTACACCCCTTTTGCTTCTGTCTTGCTGGGGCATTTGCGCTGACCCTGCTTTCCTGCTTCGTCAGCCACGTGCTTTTCTGAAAGCATCATCTTGTGGTGGTTTTTTTTTCCTTTTGTACTCTTTTACCATGAAAATCTGTCATTTTGTAACCAACTGCAGGGTAAAGGGGCTAGCCCACACTCCCCCAGGCTTCACATAGGAACAGAAAATGTTATGCATGTTGAAGTGTGATGAACTCTGTATGCAGATCCTTGTTGAACCCTTATTTGAAAGCTTTGATGCAGGCAAATCAGAGTTTGTGTGTTTGCTGTTCTGAGGAGCTTGGAGCAGTCTCTGGAAGGAAGTGTCCTAAACCTCAGCCTCCTGTGTATTTCCCATGGCTTTATATAATAAACCATTTTAGAGACGCTTGCTCTCATGTGTTTCTCGAACAGCAGGCACAGGGCAGAGCGCTGTCTGAGTTGGTGTTGTGGCCCTGTGCTCAGCCTTGTCCTCGCCCCGAACCCTGCACTGGGGACAGCTGCTCCCTGCAGTGCTCGTGCACCCCCTGCCCAAACCACAGCCCAGCATCAGCTGTACCAGTCCCGTGGGCTGTGGCAGAGGATTAGCAGCTCCCTCTTCCCGCTGTGGGGCTGTGGTGGGTCTGTGGTGTGGGGCTGCCTGTCTGTCCGTGCCGGCTGTCTGCCCAGGCAGGCTGTTCTGCAGGACGGGGCTGAGCACGACTGGGCTGATGCTGGTGCCGCACGGGCAGTGATGCTGTGGGGCCGGCTTTGCGTTGGGCTCGGTAGCAGCCAGGACACCGCACTGCTGCGGGAGCTGGTCGGGATCGCTGCGATACCGAATCATATCTGGCTGTGCAGACAAGCTTCCTTCCCCCGATACAGGGCACCCTCCGGGACACGCGCCCAGTCTGTACGTGTAGGCTCTCGGGAGGAGGTTTGGTGGGAAGATGCTGTAGTCTCCAGTCAGGGTAACGGTGGTCTCCTTCTGGCAGCCTTCCCCAGAGCGGTGCATGCTCATTACTCATTTTTATCAGCCAGGGAGCTGTTTGTTCCCCTAACATCTGAAACTATTTTCCACAGATTTCTCTTCATTTACTAACAGCT